TATTTTTTTATGTTAATGAACCGGAAAACGGGGTCCTATAGAATACTCTGCCCGCTTCGTTGATCGTAATGGACTTCCTCTATGAGAACACATTAACAATAAAGATGTATTCAGAATAGCAATTGAGCTTATCAATCAATGGTCCATAACTTTCACCGGTGTACTGATTGGAACGGTAATCATTTTAAGCGTCTGCAATAGAAGGAACACTTATATAGCTCATTTTGCAATTTAACTGATGAATACATGTTTTTAATTGCAAATATATGTAAAAAAAACTGAAGTTATAATCAATGTTTTTAGGACATCCCGTACCTCCGAAGAACCATTTTTTGTATGATTAGAGCTAGAGATGGTTTGCAACAATCTCAAGAACTTTCCAATTTTCCATAAGAGCCGTCTCACTTCACTGCCCGGATTTCTGACTTTTCAGCTCGTCACTAGACAAAAGCCACCTGTAGCTTTTGAAAATATCTAAGGTAAATAAAACGTATGACTATTAAGCACCAAGACAGCTCCAGAATTTGCACTGGCCTTAACTTCCCAAGTCAAAAACGTTTCTCTTAGCTAAGTCTCGGCGGGAGTACTCCCCAGCTTCCAGCTTTAGATAGATTCCGGCAACAGATTTGTAACTGTTACCTGTGGTAAACTGTGGCATGGTAAGGGTAACTGACACGCATATCCTCGAGTACATTCACATGGCAACAATGAGCATGCGGCCATCGTTGGTTCAGATTTTAGCATTGCCGTTAATTGCCATGGTAGATTGCTATTATATCGTTTCATAAGTCCGTTAGAGAAAAACACACAGGAAGCCCTGCGAGAGCCTCAGATCAAATGGTTAATAGCAGGACAAACGTGGACAGAGCATGGCATTTAGTACTTTACATCAAGGCTGACATTTCGCAATGTTTGGCGACCTCTCGCAGGTTGTGGCGGGAGACCGAAATGGGTCGTAGGTCCCCACATGGATGATATCCGAAAAGTAAAAAGACTAACATTCAGTCACGGGTCAAAGACTGAGCTTCATCTGGGATTTAAATTACTTAGATCACTTTCAACTTCCCTCGGTGAGAGAGATGATCGGTCCCCTTGATACATACAATATAGGCAATGAAATAATTAGCTGCTTACCTCGAAAGTTTTCATAAGATGGGTCAAAGAATAAAGTTTTTTTAAACGACTTAGCACATATTGCGTGACTAAATTAATACTCTTACTTTTCCAGCTGCGGCGGTTAGGATTCTAGAGTTTGCTGGTAGCTTATATCATATCTATAATAGGTAATGCGAGTGTGTTTATCTTAGAGACGATCAATTCGCTGTTAGAAACAAGCCGTAGATAGCAGCCCACATTAATGTGGCCGTGCGACTATGCAGAGGGTCCCCAGCTAAGTGGACCCAAAGGTTCGATTACTGAGCGACGCTTGCAGCCGTTAATAAAACCGCAGTTCCCGCCTTCGAATTGGCCTATCTGCTTTTCTCAGATACTTCATTTACGTAAGCATTTAAGGCGATAGGGTAAAAATATTCGTCATACAGTACACGAGAAATGCTGAATAAATTAAAAAGTACTAAATATCTTTATACCGCGAATCCAACAATACATTCAAACCGTCCGCCATATATTTCTCTAATACCACTAAAAAATCGAATAAATAATAAAGTCGCATACCATGGTTCTAGAGAGACCATACGTTACAGATCGGGTTTTTGCAGCTTTAGCACTACACAGTCTGAACAAATGTTCTTCTCCACACGAACCTATCGAGCAAATATCGTCAGAAGAAAAAAAAACTTGCATAACAAAAGAGAAACAACGCTTGAAGCTACCGAATTTTGATACTGAATTGTAAAGGACAGGTCTCGAAATTGCCATAGTCATGATTCATTTCCAACAAAGGGGGCAACATCCAATCCAACACTGGCCTTACAGCGAAATGCTTAAAATGAATTAAGTTCTTGAGTTTAATAATTGCCTGTGCCTTCACTAGCTAAGGCGATGCGTCCTTTGAGCAGTGCCATAACGAAACTCGACTTTATGTACAGAACTATTGCGGGTCGAAGCGTCTTAATAACTTTTCCTTACTATGTACATGTAGTCTACAAGTTTCTATAAACGCTTGCATCATGTTTTTGAGTGCCGAAGACTACAAACTACTCGAATCGCATCAGTGACCAACGAGTGTACAGGCAAAAACATACCTTAGTACTAAAACACTTTAGGTTTCTGGTCCTCGGAAGTTAAAAGCATGACATGTCCTATCGAAAATTAGAAAAAGAAAAAAAATTTTGGCCAAACAGTGGTTCGCTATAGGTGCAGTCGCTTCAGAAACAGAAATTCGAATGGCTGAACGCCATAGAATAAACGAATACGGCTCAAGACCTGTAACGGAGTTACCTATCTCTAGCGGTAATTGCGATTGCTTCTCTAAACGACCGACAGGTGGCGCACTGTCTCAATAAGAACGCTGAGAAAAGTAGACAACTAGCTTCCTCTCGAACAGAGTTCAAGCCAGCTGTGATGTACTCTAGACACAATCTGCCTAACTACTATGAACGAAAGGGCTACATGGAGAACACCGCCACTATAAGCGACAAGTCTTTGTGATGATGATGGACGGGGGCCTGGTTCTGTGTTTTCACTAATTTTCGATAAATTTCACCAGCGTACTCACGAAGAGCAGCTAAACTACCTAACGTTGTAAACTTGCTATCCTCTTACACACTATACCAGCTTATAGTCATAGACAGGCAAAAACGTGGTGTAAATATTTACCAATATAATGTGCTAGTTGTGCGCAATTTTAGACCTATTCAAGTCTTTCAACATGTTCAATAGCTCCGGATAAACAAATATCCTCCCCAGAGAACCGGCCTAGCGTCGTGTACATACAATAACATCGTCTGATCAACTAGAAGATCTGGTTTCTATTATTATTTTATGTATTCAAGTCACTGGATTTGTTCCTGTGGTTGAATAGATTTGGAACGAGCTATTCGAATGGTGAAGTTAACGTATTTCCGCTTCTGTGATGATTATATCGTCATTAGGTAAAATAGCAATGTTTTCAACGTTCCAATGAAGCCATATCTATTTACTCTATTCAGCTATTCAATGGTCGATTGAAGACGCTACCGAAGGCAGCAAGCTACAGGTTTCCTATGAACATGATCTCAGCCTCAGTCAGTTCTAGCGGCTTTTTTAAAAAACAGCTAAAAAGACTGGCATCTGCCTATGTTCAGGCGGTACATTTTAATGCTCTATGTTTAATTTATATATTTATAAATATTTAATATTTCTATAATATAAATGCATTCAATGTTTCTCATTACAATGTCTCTGTTTTTCGAAAATAACATCTGGAATTGTATTAGGATTTCTGACTGTTTACTAAAGAGTGAGCTGTGTACCAATCAAGCTGACGCCTAGTTGCTCACTAAGCTTAAGTGATTGATGATAACCTGGAGTCAAACCGTACTTATGATCAATTATCACGTATATTGCATATAATCTAGACCAACCCCATCAATCTACACCTGTCGTCTGATTTTTGGCGGTACAAGCGAGAAGTATGCTTAGCAATGTTCCTTTTGTCCCAAAAGCACCTGTGGCCACATATCTTACATTACGTACTTGCAAGTTTAATGTAGTTGGAAACTGGTCCTTCTGAGCGTATTCCTGTTCATCGTTACTAGGCCGATCAGCCATATAAACATAAACCGATCAATAACGTACGGAAAACTCGTCGTCAAAGTGTGTGCTTGTAAGCAAAAATCATTACTAATAATCGAAAATAAACATGACCGTAGTCTCATGCACATTTGTTTGTTTTCGAATATAAAGGATCGGGCAATTAGTTTTCCAATGGTTCATACAAGGTAAATAGACGTTACCTTATGTACTGATGTTTAATTTCGCCTATCACTAAGATCAGCAACAAATGGATCATATATATTAGAATCTCCGATCAGGATATCTGTGGGCATTGTGTGTTACGTTGTACGCATTGAAAGCAGTTTCGGATAGTTCCTCGAAGCGCAGAGTCACGTTTGGTTAATCATGCATGTCCGCATCTCAAGCCTGGCGGTACTCTGATATTTTGATAGACATCTAAGCTTTGTTCGACACAATGCGTTCACTTTTCAAAAAATGATGCATTTTTTTATCTTGTAATTGAGGCGAATCAAGAACTCAGTGCAAAATTTCTAGGTGTTGATAACCCAATCAGATTACACCATCGGATATTATTCGGCAGGTCGCATGTCTGTTGTGTTCTCGTGTGTTTATATATTTAGTTTACTAGTCTGGTAACGCACAAGGCGTCGGACCGACTCGGTGGATCGGTGGGCAGCCCCATCGATGCAGTTCTAACCTCGATGAACGTCACCTACGAGCTCGTCACCCCGAAGGATCTGAGCAATTGGGGTATCTGTTTCCAAAACGGGACATGCGTTGGCCAACTCGATGATGTCGCGCAAGGGGTTCGTTGTTATATGTTTGTATATGCATGCACGTTTACGTTTACAAACAAACGCGGATATGTTTCGAAGTTTTGCGACTCGACACTGTAGCAAAGTGGGAAACTTAGCCGTTTAATATACGATGCAAAAAAGGATACTTCTTCCTTGCATTTATCTCATGTGGACGATATACAAGTTAGGTTTGATTGTTCAGCGGCCGACTTTGCTAGGCTGTCTGTACGGACGGGAAGCCAGAGGTTCTCGTTCAAAAGACGACTGTTCACGATTGTTTACTTAGACGAATCATGAAATTGTGAAGCTAGATGATCGGTACTATTAACGTGAATTCACGAGGCCGCTAGAAGCTCTGCCGCACGGCATTCGAAATCAAAATGGATAATTACGCTGAGTACAATTATATGATACATACGCATATTCTCACTCTGTTTTAGCGAGCTGATATCGCCGTTGGGCCTTTCGGAATACTCCCAATAGATATAGAAAAATTCCACACGACACCTGTCTCTGTCATCGACCGCCTCGTTCCAATATCAGGGATGTTCATAACGCATGCGACCGATTCAGGGGAATTTTTTCGTATGATTGACACTTTGGCCTATGTCATGCTCATTCTAACTACTCTACTAGTACCTCTTACCGTTGCGTTCATCGAGGCAACGCTACGAGCCGCCAAAAACCATTCAACGATATCGCTCTTCGAGTGCAAGTCCGATTTCTACAACCTTGTAACAGCAACTCTAGCAGGAATGTTAAATCTTGGTATGTATATTGAGCATTCATTGTAGAAACAATTATTTACTCGCTTAGCTCAAGATAAACGTACGTATCAGGAGCTCGCGTTCGTTCCATGCGCATAATTCTGCACTAAATCTGATCAAGATTCTACATTGAACTACACAAGAATTGAACAGATAACGAGTGCGGCCCATAGGCGGAACCTGAATTATTGTGATCTTCGCTCTGCTTCAATGGTCGCAACAGTTAGATCGTAAAGCAATGGACGTTAGAAAAATATGGTTTATTTTGAGTCTGTTTTTCTCACTTGTTCAGACACTAAGGTACACTTATTGTTATTCTATGTTAACGAAATATAGGCTCGGAGTTGGTTCCCTTTAAAAGTACATCATCTCGTTTGGTTTTGACGTCCTTGAGTGTTATGCAAACCTTTTTTACAATTACGTTGTCAGGAACCATAATGGTAAGCGATCATTCAAGCCAAAACGTAAGTACCTTATTAGCCAGGCATTAGATGTTATATTTTTATATATATGCGTCTATTTTGGAGCAATCAATAAATGAGCGAACCGTCAGGTTCGCTGTGCTCCATGACCTTTGTAATGAAACGAGCCGGTTGTAGAAATTAACGAGTAGAAGTGAGCGCGCCATGGCGTGAGACAACGTAAAGCATATTGTGTGTTCTGTGCGAAAACGTTTCTCGCTGAACCAGCTCAGTTTCTGCAAAGTCTTCTTTTAAGAAAAGCCTCAATTCTAGCATAGCTAAGCAAGCAGTTGAAACACATAGATAGTAGACATCTAGATAGACCTGTAACTACTTATAGCTACATTAATGGCGAACGTACTATTTCAGTGTAAACGCATGTTTACCATACACACTGGACATTATCGCATGTCCAGTAAGATCATGCCTAGCAAGTATGTATGAAAGCTCTGATAGGCCATCTAGGACCGCAAACATTCACCTTGCCTACGTGTTCGTTAATAGGCGGCAATTATGGTGAAATCGCCGACATCGCGTATAGAAACGCTCCAGGACCTGGCAAGCAAAACTCAGGTGAACCCACTCGTTCCACTGGGAACCACGATCGTTGACGCATTAAAGGTATTGTGTTAATAGGGTAAATGCAATAGGCTTTGTCTCAGAACCCTCTACAGAGATCGCCCATGAATTTCACATACGTTCAGACTGCACATTGTTAAAAAAATTAAGTTGGCAAACAGAATCGAAAGAGCATGACGTATGAAGTTCCCTCTTATCAGGCTGGACAAATAAACGTCCAATTTAAGTTAGTCAGAATCAATGCATCAGACAAAAAAAAATGCTAATTACAGCTCGGTAGATGAGATGAATGGATGGATGATGAAGGATAATGAAGGAGTAGATAAGTCCAAATTCGCAGCTAATTTAGAATTCCGATTACGGTCGTATTTTAATGTTTAAATATTGATCTAGTGCTATGACACTTCCTTATCAAAGACATCATCACTATTGGCTGCATGCCTACTTTCTGATGAAAGCCCTGTTTCGTGCGTAGCTATCTATCTTCAGTTTAAACAAATGAATCAGTCGCTGACCTCGATAGTTTCGATGTAATTAGCTTTTGAATAGGCACCTCTTGCCAGTGTTGGTAAGTCTACAATTATGTTGCAGAGCTCAACAATAATTCATATATATATATATATATATACATGCGGGGTCTAGTATAAAACGCATTGCAAACATTTGGTATGTATGTACTGCAACAACAGGCTAGAACTGGTATGACCTTGGATATACTGCTAAAGTCTGTCGATCCTTCTTCCAGTCAGTTGATGATCCCCGATACCGTACAATATACAAAAGGGCGGAGGATAGGGGTTTTCTTTCAGTGGAGACGTTTATATCACTTGAAACGATGCATGAACTCGCTAACGGAAGCGGCGTCGTCTTCTTTAGGTTGGTCCATTTTCTGGCTTGTTTGTGTCGCTCAGATCTCGAACGCCTTTTCGTTCATATGGTGAACAGTTCTACCTTAAGTCATACATTGCAATACATATTCAAAGAAGCGTACCAATAAAGGCGAACCGTTTTCGTGTCCTACTTTCGCAGTTAATATCCAGCATTAAATGCCGGTCTAGCAAAGAAAGGCCAAATTCTAACATATTTATAGGTAAATTTAGAATATTTCCAGGTGTTTACCCGTGTGATTTAATAATATGTCATAACAACGGTGAGGTTAGTAAGGGATTTGCGATTAATATCACCTGAAGTTCTATCTTTTAGATGGATCTATGGATTAAGCGCGTGTGGCTTCATCAATCACAATCAGTGGAAGGAAGTTAACAAAGTAACCAGGTTTAACGGGTCCCTACAAAGAGTCGAAGCGGATTCGATGAAGGATAACTCAATGAACGAGAACGAAATCTTCGAACTTTTGAATTTCGCTAGCCTTTGAAGGCAATCTTATTCCTACACTCATAACATCTACGGTATTCAATATAATAGCATCTAGTACTTTCCGTTTTAGCCCAACATTTCATCAAGTGGAACGATCGGTTGAGCTCTGCAAACGGAACTGGCAGCAACGGTCTGACTTAACTTCGCATATATTTTATTGCGGGTACTGCCTCTAAAAAGACAGAGGCTAACTAAGATCAAACAGAAGTTCCCAAAAGACAACGAAGCAATTAGCTATAACAATCGGCTTTTGTTTGTAGTTTTCTTTAATCCAAGACTTCATTGGGACTAAATACGTTCTCGCATAGTCATACACCTACTAAACAAGAATTCAATATTTATTAGCTTAGGTAAATTTGTCCTTAGTTTGTATTTAACCAATTGAATGAAATGAGCTTCAAGTCCGTCACGACGCACAATTTGGTGCCATTTTCTGGCTACTTTTAACCTTGATGACCAATATCCTCTAATTCAGATCAGTCCATTCGTCCACATATGTGTTTAAAATGATGGTGACTCAGGACTGCGTTTCAGACATAGATAAACTGTTTCATTTCTGAGCAATTATCAGTTCTGAGGACTTGAGAAAATGGCGATAAATTGCAGCCCCTTCTGGAAATTCTACAACAACATCACTCTATGTCTTAGAATGAATTAAATGTAGCAGAACACGAAATTATTGGGCTTCCACGCCATAACAGTTTATTCTCACTGCGATATAAACAGACTGTAGACATTTAGGTTCGCAAGGTATACGCTCTTAGATCAGGGGTGTCAAGGGAAGCACCTCTTAGGTCGTTGAGTAGCGCGTGTTTTCAAATAATAATTTGCGCTTACGCGTTTATAGATTTGCTACACGGCCTTTTACGGCCATCGAAAGCCCTTTTTCCGTTTCTAAAGACTCTGTCGGATCATGCTATTCGTTCTCTCCTGAGTTTACAATCAGTAACGTTCATTAAAGATCAAAGTTAGCATATCTATGCTAGGTAATCGCACAGCCTATTTTATTAGCAGACGGATAAGATGAATCGTTAGTTAAAATAAATATTTAGCATGAACAGAACGCTGAGCTGTTCATGGTTGTTTACTTAGCATGCTAAACAACCGAATGTCGCTTGTACTACTACTTCACTCGACGACGAGCATCATGCCTCTGTTATAGACGCTATATATATATATATATATATATATATATATATATATATATATATATATATATATATATATATACATATATATACATATATATATATCTATAGATGCGATTAGCTAGATAGAGTTGGACAGAAAAAATTTGAAATTGAACGCCTTCGAGAATATAGAGGGATTTATCTTTATTTAATGGACTAACTTTTTTTCTAGATCTCATAAGGATAGAGTAGTATCATTATGGTTATCCATCGGTAAAGTAAATGTCATGGTGGAACAAAGTTGTTCTATTGGCGCAATGTTGTTTGTCTTGGCAGCGTCTCAATATACCTGCTGGGCAAATAAATAAAGTTAACCATGCAATTTTACTCAGCGGACGATTCCGTCAAAAAAAAACTCAGGAATAAGAATGATTAGATGTGCGCTTTCGACGTATCTGCGACCCACTGATCGTTTACGACAAAGTGGTCCGATGGACATGCCGAGCCTCACAATGTTCTTCGCTACGAATGATCAGAACGATATCAGAAGCTGCTACTGGTATACTTACAGTGTTTAGGAGCTTGCACGATAGACAGCATGGTAATACGGCAGAGCGAGAACATACCTAGGTAGAACTAACAACCTTCGTTCTAGTTTTCTACTCTTAATACATTTTTCAGCTGTGAAAGCACGAGCCTTTTTTTCGCATCAGTCTTCGCACCGTACCGAGGTAAGGCGTGGCTCTTCTGCGGATCAGAATCGATATCGGATTATATGTACTCAAGTTACTTCTCAATGACCTTTGATTCCAACTTCATAATGGAGGCATTCACTCGGTTTGTGTATTGCTTTGTTGATTACGCATGTTCTTAAATCAATCTTGTTACTTCCATGTGTGATGTCAATATTTTGCGATACGTATGTACATGGTGATCGTATGCATGGGCTTCTTTTACTGCTAATATTATTACATATCTATATTATATATTACTTTTACAGGACTTTAAGTCTTGGCTAATTCTCATACCGAGCATACAGCCTCTGTATATAATTAGCCGACATTGGCCAGCTTGAGTTAACTGGGTGGCATTTAATTAAATATTTTCCATAAAGCGGCAGCTATGATTAAATGGGGGTCATCACGATACACTACAGGCGCACTAGCGCGTTAAGGGCGCAGTTAAGGAGCTTTTAGAGTAGCATAAACCACAGGTTCATTCTCATTGTGGCCAACGACAATTTTTCCCCAGGTCGTGGTAAATGGGCATCTGGCAGAAGACATAAAATAGAAAGGGCTTTATCGACGACTCTTTTTTTTGCTCAAAAGGGCCCTTTCGGGTGCGCTGAATCACAGTTGTTCGGCTATTTAACCGAACACGTTTAGATCTGCAGTTGTCCATTTGTTTAAGGATGACATTCTACCGGTTCAATCACATCCACTCACTGATATGATCGTCTACGATTTTTGTAAAAAATGAGGTCTTCCACAACACTCGGCACTGTTTTTTTCACTGAATATAAGATGAACTCGGTGAACTTATCTGCCGCTATAGTTCCAAAATCGAACTCCACAAACAGGAAGTTAGTAACTTACTTACATTCTCTTATCGTCTATGGCTCGCCTGCCAAATGCCCGAAGATTTGATACGAATGAACGGTCTCGTATGTGAAAGATAAGCGCAAGCAAGCACGGTGTTACAAAATGTCGCAGCATTTTACAAAGCGCTACTTTGAAATCTGCGATTGACGCTTCTCGTACCTTATACTAATTCATATTGATATAAATCAATCTGACAATGTACGGTTGCTAGGAACAGCATTTATCCGTTCACCTTTTATTTCAACTGCTTCTGCATCTTCGCGAAACTCTAGATCTTTTTTATAATTTAATCAACGTACTCCTTAGTCCTTGGTTCTTCTTTTTGAAACCATCAGTATAGTAAGTTTTTTTTTTAAATGGCCTACTTTTTGTTGCGAATGTTTTGGTAGTGGAGCGTTGGATTTGTCTCTGTATTTTCCATTGTTTTCTACATATAACATTAACATAAATTTCTACACATAACATATGAATTAAATTAAGCTAGGTTCTTCTTATTGTATAACAGCCTTCCAGGCGCATCGTGTTTCTGACCGTTAGCGAGTACGATGTATGTTTGCCCTTATTCTTATTACGTCTAGCCATAAATACGTGATTATTTGAGCAGCAACTTTATGGATGTCCTTGCATAGCAGCTTTTCTTACCTTGCAAATTACTCTTTAACCGTTCTGTATATAATTACATATATTATCTAGCATATAATATGTCGATACTCGGATCTTAGCTAGAGGTCAACGAAAGTATTCTTCGATGTTATTAATGAGTTTGCGTGTCCGTCGTTTTAATTTCAAGGGCTGGACCGCTTTTACCTTCATCCTCTGAATGGTAAAAGGTTTTTTGGCCAATTTTCGGTTATTAGGACTTTCTTATGTTATGTTATGTGGTTTTTAGGATGGGAACCATGAAATGCGCGCACTTGGCCTTATAGTAACGCATCCCTCACCTGTGTGTTCTTCCGACCTGGAATATTTTTCCTAGGATACATGTTCTTATTCTTCTTCTTGTCAAGCCTCTAGCGACCTAATACGTCAAACAGTGCCTATAATTTTTTTATGTATAAGTTTATTCTACGGGGGTTCTGAATACTTTCTAGTTTGCGTGTTTTACCCTTTGCACTTCAGGAAGAGCGCACAATAACATGTTTGTGACTTGCTCAGGACGTTTTTATTATGGAGTTCCTCTTTCTGTCGCGAAAATGATCTGCGTAGATATGATTTGCAGAAATGTCCAAACTTGATAGTGAACAACACATTATGGCAGTGTGGCCTTTTAATGACTTGGACAGGGAATCCAGGAAAATTAGCAGTCACATTTTCCCTTCTTACATGTATAGAAATTGCGCTGTTCGCGTCTTACTTTCGAATTGGAACGGTGGAAAAGTTGCTTAATAAAATGTTAAATTAAGTACCAGTCGTAACGGAGGCTTTTAGGCTCTTGAGATGTTAACAAAATTTCGTTTGTGGTCACTTTCAGATACCAGTGGCTAATTGATATGCCCAGCCGTTGGATTCACCCTTTCGTGTTCGGGGCTCTTGGGGACGAATTTTACACGAGTAAAGCTAGGATAACAAGTTCAGGGAAGAACGGCCTCACGACGACAGAATTTCATGGCGTGTTAGTAGCCTGTTGTATGTTACACGCTTTCGCTTTCGTCATATTCATCATGGAAGTTGTCGTATATCTTACCCTCGAAATTATACTGAAGTATTCTTTTGGACTTCACAAGGATCTGAAATTGGCCATTCCTACGTGTACACGTGGCGGCAATACTTTTTTGTGAAGATGCACTGCAACAGGTCATCTTTAAACGCAAACGAAATTTCCTTCTGCTGTTTAGAGATAAGCTGAAGGGGGTACTGTTAGAGCAGCAAGATGCAAAATTAGAAAATGACCGTCAGCTAATTCTCAACATAGGCGCCATGTGTTTTTGACTAATAAGGTTTTTGATACAAGACGTGAAAATTATTGTGACGAAACCGTTAAAGAACATAACAAACGTACTGCTGACAGTTAATAAACGGTCAGCTGCTGCCAAATCTCGATTTTTGTAAAAAGAACATAAAACATTGTGTTAGTTTTCATGACTGGTAATGAGTGCCATACAGGAACAATTGTGAACGTACAGAAACTTTGAAAAATTTAAATATTGCTGAGGACGGTACCCTAACGTTATCGTACCGATTCAACTGATGACAGGAAAAATTCTGCCGAGACTGTTCTATGAAAACGAGTAGAAGTCACATAGATAATGACTATACACATAGATAATGATAAGACGCTTTAATAGGACATCTGCATCCAAATGACCAGAGGTTCGTTGTATGGCATTTCAACTCAAGGAAACACTTTATTGGTGTCTCTATTAACGTCACTCAAGGGAAACAAGCTAACTTGATCCCGTTACATCGGATACTGATTGACCTCGAGCTTCGTATAATGCGATTCGTTTTTTTAGATCTTTCGCCATTTTCGTACAGTAAGGCGTAAACAATAAGTCTGCTTAACGTTATGTAGCATAATATAGAGGATCGAAACAGTTTATGGAAGGCTACGAAATGGAATAAACTATTAAAATACGGATGAAAGTCATCTACGAACATCAGGCACCAAGCAATCCCTTGAATTGAATTAGAACTCTTACGAGCGCTGAATAATATTATCGATTAGTTGTTTCCTATGCTACTTCGTTTCTCGAATATAAGATTAAGATACTGAACTTTATAGCCGACGTCATTCGACCTATGAATTTACTTATAGTTAGACAAATGACTCGAGATTTATAAATAAGTACAATTGCGATAACTCCCTAGGGGGTTCATAAGTTGGCGTTATTATAATGATATATGCTCTGTATCTATCGAAATTACGAATGAGCAAGCACACACGATACCCGTTACTATACCCGACTGCCATGTTCTAGCACAAATGATTAATTACAGGCCATAGTTTTGAGTCGTATTTGGTTCGAAGTATTGTTCCGGTACACCGGGCATCAACACTCGCGCAGTCAGTTCTTTTTTCCTATTGACGATTTCAATTATATCTCGCTCTTTCCGCCACTGTCCCTCTGCTGTGTTTTATTCTGTATAATAAGTCAGCTATTATCCAAGTAAGAGCATCGCGCTTTTTTTTTTTTATATATATATATATCTAGCGTTTCGGTATGTTCATGGACTGTAATCAAATATCCATACTAGACACTGTTCATGTCAGATTACCTAAAGCCCCTATAAAAAAAAAAGTGTCTCCTCTTGCCTGGTCTTGGCGATCAGCATTTTCATGATCCTCAGGACACTAGCAGGGCAGGTCTTGTTACTATGAAGAGTTTCTATTAAATGGCTAATTTACGGATTCGGATCTAAGTTATAAACCAAATTCTATTTTGGGTTCATTATACCGTACGACCTACTAAAATAGAACAATTTAGCTCCGATACGTATTATAGAACCCGATAAATAAAGCAGTAGAAAAGTTCGTATTTGACAGTCTCACCGTGACCGAAGCTGCTCTTCCCTGGGCCAGTACAAAGATAGTAGATGGTTATACGAAGGTCTAATGCTTCCCATATAATATATGGACACTATAAAAATTCAGTATTTACAGAATCAAAGGTAGAAAAACTTACTCAAGGTTCGTTTGGTTATACCTTGACTAGAACTTATTGTTGGTTTTTAATCTGTCAACGGTATCCATCGTCTTCATTACAATTTCAACACACAAAAATAGATAATACATTTTTTGAGATGATGCACATCTATATTTACCAATTACCTGTCACCAGAAACTTGTGAAACTCGAAGGTATATTACACATACTAATAAACTTATAAGAAAAACTACGGTTTTTTCAGTGTGATTTTTTTGTTAATGTCCAAGTGTTACATGCCGTCGGGAAGTTTTTTGCGCTCCTGTATATGCTGTCAAGATCACAAAATGTGCCTTTGTTTTCAGGGTTCAAAAATGGGTATGTCTACTCCTCGTAAATTAGGACCCTACAGGTAAAGTATACATAAGTTTATTTAATAATTATCCTTCCCAAAAATGACTCAAGATCAATACTCGACAAATTCTAAAAATCAAGTAGGGTTCTTTAGACCTAATATTTTTATCATTTGTTAACCTATAATTTTTTAGCTTAGCAGGCTACTTGTAAATAGCAGTTTTAGCTATAGACTACTTGTCGAGGCAGTTTTGGCGGTTGTATTTTCTATTAAACACATATAATGAGGGCCGAAAATGCTGTTTTCACGACTTGATGTTTAAAGCAGAATTTTTAATGGCATATCACACCTTAATATAACTAAATGAAAAATCATAGAGAAGCAGTAAATATTTGCCCGTCGTTAACATAAATTCGTATTTCTATAAATATCCACGAATTTCTTGCATAATATTGCCCGGTTGGCCAACGCGTTTTCTATTCAATTAGTGGGAACAACGAGTAAAATCGAACCAAAAGTGGCGTCCATTGTTCTGCTTATGCGCCTAAGGCTCGGGTACGCTAGCACAGCGGTAAACCAGAGCGAAACATAACAAAAAAACTGCTGAATGGTAACATATAAAAAAAAAAAAAGAACATAAGTAAGTAAGTTGCTTAGCCAAGATATAAACTTGTGTAAGAGGTACGAACACCCTTCAGTCGTTAAACTTTCATAGAGATGTAATGTGGGAAGTTTTTCGAGAACGAAAACACTTCGTCAATTAAAGTCTAGATATATATAAATCTATTGAACTATTGGTATGGATGAAATTTCTATATGCGTCCTTTGCTGGACGCGGAATTAGGCTGCAAAGACCCTTTCAGAAATGCCCTGACCTGAATAAGGCTGCCCCTGATCGCTGGTGCAAGCTACACAGCGTCCAAAAATACCCAAATTGAAGATCGTGTCGTATTATATATGCTCCGGCCGGCATTGATTAGCTAAAAAGTAAGAGCGAATAAGGCAGTGCGTACTTTTAAGTTATCGGTAGAAAGATGTATTAGATGTTTTCAAAGTAAATAGGTATCGGTGACGCTATGTGGGCTTTCGACAAGCATTTTGAACACAGCCAATTCGATATACGTATTATAGTTATCAGCCTGAGAATGACGGATATGATTAGCACAACAGGTCATCACATCCAGTAAGTACGCTTCAAAGTACACTCTGAATATTTCTATTCTATGAGGTAACGTTTTTATCTGAAAAGTCTTTCCCTAGTTTTATTTAACACGAAGACGTTATTGAACGTTAACCTCGACCATGAGCACTCTGGCTAAAATTATACTAGCGGTGTGAAATTATGAAGTTTAGATTTTACGTCAAAACATTTCTATATATATTCAATAAAAAAAAAACCCTGATTGAATCACGATCTAACTAGGATTTATTACATCTGCACGTAGTCGCTTAACTGCGTAAAAAAACACTAGCGTAAAAAAGTCAGGTCCCAGACATATGAAAGCTTGGAGAAAATTTACTCTTGGTATCTGCTTATCTTTCTAGTTGCTTTCTGGGACTAAGCATTGACTTGGTATACTAAATCTTCTAAGATTTATTACTTTTGTGTAATTTCAAGTTGATGAGCTGAGAAACTAAATGTTTTTGTACGTACGCAAGCACACATGATTGGGTTCAGGCTCCCACAAAGTAAAACGAACGCTTATATAGTCAGGTGTCTTAGAAAAAAAAACGATAGAATGATTTTTTTCAATAGAAACACATCAATTTCAAGAGTCCATAGCAAGCATCCGCCTTGTCGATTTGACAACTCTCCTTACAAAGCCAAATAACTAGTTGACTTTAATCTGACTTTAAGGTTATTTCGCATCAGTACATAAATAACGTATGTAGGGCTATTACATACGGACGCACGTAAACGTGTTCTTTCCTAAGTAGAGAGAGAACTCGATTATATGATATATAAGAAAAGAGGCTGTTTAAAATAGGTTCGCTCGAGGTTTATATATTATATAGAATGAAAAATGTAGTTGACATAAGAATAGTAGCGACATCAACCATGTTTCTTGTTATGGCAACACCAACATGTTTTTGCTATTTAGCTAACCCGCAAGAGTTCTATTTATAAACGGATGATTTTTAACGTTGCGTATCGTATAGTTCGTGAGTATAAAAACGCCACAATGAAACGTTGACATTCAAGTTACCGCAATGCAAACGAATGATTTAGGATGAATTAGAATGTATTGCATGTCTATTTACAGTAGTTCCACAAGGCAAAATAGATCCAGGATTTCTGATTCAAAAAATTAAGAAAAAAACACAACACGTAGGTAACGGTTTCAGCTAACAGTGGCCACTTCTACGGACAATCGTAACGCAGTGTATATAATCATCAAAGCGGTTCAATTATGCCGGCCATCCATGTTGGTTTAATCACCCTTATTGCGTAGTATCTGTCATTGGTCGGTCTGAAACTGTCCTAAACATGTTCCCCTTAATTTTCATCTATAATGTTTCCATTTAAGCGTGTTGGATTGTGTCGGCATTTAATCAAATAGAAAAATCAACTCTAATATGGCATTGGCAAACTGAGTGACGAGCGGTTTGTTCGCCGCTAGTGAAGCCAGATGAAGAAAATGATACCAGGGATTCCGTAGTAACTTGCAGTACTATGAGTATTGGCAACGTGAGCTGGCAAAGGAAAATTATTTTTTTTTTACAAGTCCATGCATTATGTAGACTGCACACTTCGTAAGTCAGTGATAAGCGCCACGTGCAGTACTTTGCAGAGCGTAAACAACAATGGTTAACTTGTAATCTAACTCACTCCAAATTAGAATTCTCATATTGAAACAACGACGTAAAACGTCGTAACAATTATACAATGTTTACCTAGTTTCTCGGCGAAAAATTCTGCGGCGGGAAAGACATCTTCAAAATAGGTTTAGCTAATGGCCCATAGTGAATTTTAGATAGTTTTTATTTGTAATCGTATCTACCCCAGGCTCAATGAACAAAAAAACTATGTTGAACTCAGTAAGACGCCTATCCGGTACGGAACAGAAGCTGGTCATCTAATTATTTGACAATTTCTACAGTAAACCTATTCTATGCCCACGAATGCTCTACATAGCTCCAGGATATTCTTACGGTTACGCCATTTACAATCAAATACAGACTATTGTTATTTTGAATGCTATT